ATTATGTAGATCGCGTATTTGAATAAGATTATTTCGTTAATCGAATTATTAATCCGACTTGATCCGCGGATCTAGTTCTAAGTTGTAAAAAGAAAATTAATTTTACGAACGCCAGATGCTACTCTCCGTGCTCAAAGGCATTTGAATTTATTAAAATATATTAAAATATGGGAGACAAATTATATGTATATTTTTCCTGCGCATTGTAATATTTTTTTTACGTTGTAATACTTCTGTCGCGCGCCCGCGCAATCGGTGATCTCGTCGCAAAAACGTAAGTATCTGTTTTTATTTGAACACTTCCTCATGATTATGTATCCGTATAAAGTACTCGACGAACGCAAGAAGAGTCATTTAACTTCTTGTAAAAGAATATTCGAGGCGCGCCAACTTTGTGAATAGACGGAGAAAAACATCTTCTCTTGTACAAAGAGGGGAAGAAAAATACGCAGCTTACAATTTTAAAATTGAGTAAATGACTCACATAAGCGGTTGCGAATTGATTTACGAACCTGTCCGATTTCTCGATTAACTTTACGGGCTTGAAGTTTACCGTGATTTCTTGCCTGCATTAAGCGTTGACAAAGATTTACGACGAATCTCCTCGACGGAAACGAAGGCGGCCGCGGTTTCGAAAGAAGGAAAAATTGTTCGTAAGGCGCACCCAAGCTTTCGTCCTTGTAATTTCTCGCGTGAATTATTTATTACGATTTGCGCGCAATTGCGTGGCCCGTGTGTGTATTATTTCCTCACTTTTCGCAATGCCTAAAAAATTGTCGACGCTGTTCGGGATGCGACTCGATTTTTCTATATTGTATTGTATCGAACGTTGAACTTTCTGTGTCACTATTTTCTAACACTAAAATGCTTTCCGAAAATGAGCGAATAAATATTACCTAATGAAATATTCTATTAATAAAATACCATTTATAACGCATTACCTACTACAGAGTGGCAAGTTACATAACAAATAATGAAATAGTGACATAGTTCTGTAAACTATACCGCTAATTATCGCAAACATTTTTCGATAAATAAATAAATTATTCTCTATATCCCTATATACATAATATGTATGTAAACATGCTGCATTTACGTGTCAGGCCTTCGTGGTTTTCCGATATACGCGTACTATAGTTGTTCGGGCTGTCAATGAGATTGTCAATCATTCTTTCGCGAACGGCAAAATAAAACGTCGACTCCGACAGGAACGCAATTAATTCGAGGCATTTGATTTCCGCGACGAGGAAAGCCAAGATCGTGGCCTGCACTAGAGAGAAAGATTTATTCCTAATAAATAAATAAATAAATAAAATAAACAGGCAAAAAAAAAATAAAAGGAAGGAAAAGAAAATCCTGCCATACCTGCGTCTTCCACGAGAGAGACTATGAACATTATCCTAAAGTAGTTTAACATTTACGTATTTCTAAACCGTAAGTTAAATTATTCACTATCCTGTTTAAGACACGTACGATGTACCGATAATCCGGGGATCAACGACATGTACGGGGTGTGTGACGAGTGAAAGCGTGCGTGCCGTTCCGCGTATGTCGAAATTTCATCCGCTCGTGATAAGATCAACGATGCGCGAGCACGCGTAACTTGTTACTGAATTCTGTATACCTTTAGCGACTAGGAATTAATCCCGGCATATACGGGCGGAGAAATTACGAGGACGAGATGAGATTTACCGATTTTACTCGCGTATTTTGTCCTCCCTTGATTTCTCGCTGGAACGGACGCCCTCCGTGGCGAGCGAGAGAAAAGAAAAAAAAAGAAAGATTGGCGTTTCTTCTTTATCACGTAGGAAACAACTTCGTAAACGGAGTTTTTTTGTACTAGGATAAAAATTATCGTCGAAACTGTAATCGCTCCGTAAACTTGAGCCTGCGTGGTTTCCCCGCAGTCGGACACACTGTAAAACACAAATGTACATACTTACACTGCACTAATTTAGTATTGCCGCTAAGTATTACAACTAGTCACATAAGCCAAAAGTTTGTTACTCTCGCAGAAGTTTTCTTTTTTTCAGTTTTGTAAAATAAAGGAAGATGAGAAAAACCCGAAGACTGTCACAATGGCGTTTTCCTTAAATTCCCCCGCCTTCCACGTTCCTCCGTAAAACTATCGCATTGAACGAGAACATCGATGCTTATCGACGATATGATTAAGTTGCGTTTTTTGTCGAAACTGAAGAAACGACCATTTTTAATCTGCGACTGTTACATACTTATAAATTAAAATGATTTATTCGAGTTAATTGTTCTTCATCCCGACTTCATCGTCTTTTTTTTCGTTAGCGATTCGAGCGTCCGTACGCTTTTTTCGCAATAAAATTTTTTAATTTCAACCTTCAACGATATCGAACGGTTGAGCGTGTGACGTTCGCGTTTTGCAAAGAAATTTAAATAAGTAATATTCCTTAATCGTTCATTCTCGGTAACTGTATTTTACTACGTTGGAAAAAAGAATTTATATTGGACATTTTCCTATTGTTTCCCCCCGATGGCGCAGCTGTTTCGCGGCATTCTGCAATACGTTTTTACCGTATGGCAATCATCCGGCAATGATCACGGTAGCGGAAATGAGTAACGCTCTCTCTCTCTCTCTCTCTCTCTACGATTCTTTTACGTAAGCGCAATACAAGCGGAGCAAACGCGGCTACGCATTGTACACCATACGTCCCCGTTTCCGCTTTCATTTTCGACGTGCGTGTTCTCACCGGAGACTAACAGTCGCTGATAAAAGAGTCGGGATCATTTTCTATATATAGCTAACGAACGCGCGTGCGAAAATATTCCGCAACGAAGGTTATCTAATGTTTCGCCAGTGTACACTTCAGCGATCTTCAACGAAGCCGATCGGCAGGTACGTAACGGATTTGTTCCCCCCCCCCCTCCTCAGCTATATGCATGATTAATCCAGCTGCAAAAACTCCTCTTCGTATACCTTATTTTTGCATTATCCCTCCGCGTTACGATATTCAGACACATTTTTATATATTTTAAATATAGTACTACTTTGTATTGGATGACGCGTGTCTCCGTGTGAAAGCGGTCGAGTGGTAGTCGACGAGTAGTCCCGGATTCGATCCCGACCCTCGTCCCATGTATGCCTCGCTTTTATAAAAGGTTGATTGAAGAGTTGAAGGTTGTGAGTGAAGAAATACGAGGTGAATAGGCTAACACCCGCTATACGGGAACCTATATATAAGAACGCACTACTATTTAATATTAAATGCAACTAGTAAGAAATTTTAATAATTGCATATTTGCTTTATCAATCATTATTTGCATTCCATGAACATTTGGAGATTTTTAGTTTCTTGTTTTTAACTTCGATATTTTCAAAAATCGAGAGATAATATACGAATAAATGCATATTATTATTTAAAAGATTGCAGTCGAGATTGAGAATTTGTGGATTTATAAGTTGCGTGTTATTTATTTTTCGCTTTCACTCTCGTCTTCTTCCGCATTTAATCTTCATTACTTTCAGGCAGCGTTTCTAATTTCTCCTTCAATTGTACTTCGAATATATTTATGCAATCGTCTTTTAAAATTCGTCACCACTTCCTTCACAGAGTATATCAGGGAATATCCTTTTAGTAATGAATTCCCTGGCCAATTTAGAACCATTTTCTTAAGAAAACAATTGTCGAGTTGCGATTGAAAACGATGAGCTTTTATCGCGAACTAAATTTCGGGAAGTGATTCCCGAAGTGATAAAGAAATCTGCATTCTTCGGTTAATAACGAGTGATTTACTTTAAGAAAATTTTAATTTATACGCAAAAATATTACAAAAAATGTATAATGCAAAAATGCATGATACATGATTGGGGAGATTTCAGTTGGGAAGACTGTCGTCCTCCCAAAGAAAAAAATTAATCGAAAAATCTATTATTAAAGAGACGCACTGTTTTTGGACACTATGCGTGTGTGTCATGAATTAGTTAATGTTTGAAGATAATTCTCGCAAGTATAGAAGACGCAAAGACTCTTGTATTTCTCATTAGCGCTAAATTTACGGTCGGAATACGCTCCAAGGTCTGTTTAACACTTTTTGCTTAATGGCTCTCGCATACCGACGACTCACTCGGTGGAAAAACACGAGTTACGATCTTGTATGCATGTACGTGTATCGTCAACTATTATTATCGTTAGTATCGCAAACCGATAACGCTCTGAATGCAGTGGAACGATTATTATTACCTACATCTCGGGGGAATATAATGTCTCTTTAATCTTTACTCGAAGATTAAGTTATTTCCTTTTACATTCCGTTAAAAAAATTTTATTCATACAATATTAATTTTGAAAAAAGAGAGAGAGAGAGGGAGGGAGAGACATAAAATTAAAGACGTGAAAGATTTTTTTTAGTAGCATGACTCAACTATGTTCTCAATGTACTTTAATAATAGCAAGTATATAATATCGTTCGCTATAGAAAGTAGAGCAATATAAGATCGCTGCTCACGCAGCTCCCTGTCGCAAATACATATAGACGCCAATTTGTTTTCTCCTTCCCTTTCTTGGCCTTTTATTTCTCTCTTTCTACTTTCTTTCCATTCTGCAGTCTCTTTTTTTTCACCCTTCCCCTTTTCTTTCTTTTCATTCTTTTTCTTTCCTCTTTCTTCTTTTCGCGTGTCTTTCTTGCGTTTCTCCTTTTCAAGAGAGCCGAGAAATCCTTTGACACCACCGGCTACCCCTCGACGGGGGGGCTGCCTCTCTCTCCCTCCCTTTCTTTCTTTTTTTCTGTCTGTTAGCGGCCTTTAATTATATCACCGCAACAATATATTCATCCCGCTTGTACAGCTTATGCTGCCTGCTTCCGAGAAAGAAACATTTCTGCTGTGCCACGCATGCAAAAGCCGCGTGTGGTAGAGGAGAGGCTGCCGCCGCCGCCGCCACCGCCACCGCCGTCGCTGCCGCCGCCGCTACCACCGTCATCACCGCCGCCGCCGCCGTCACCGTCGTTGCCGTCGTAACTGAAGTTCGCGTGATACCGAATCGCGCCGCATAGTTTCACGCATCGGCGCGGTAACGTTGCGAGTCAGCGGTTTTTTTCGCGCGTCCGCCGTCAATCATCACGGAAACGACTGCGCGTTACTTCGAGAGAACGGAGAAGGACGAATGATCGAGGCTTCGACCGCGACGTCAGCCGAGTCGATTTTTTCGCGATAAATTCATGGTAAGAGATCTCTTCTCTTCTGGTTCCCTTCATCCCTTCTTCTTCCCCTCCTGACTGTCCTTCTGCCCCCCGTCTCGCCATTCGACATATTCGATGTCGATTCGGCGTCGACAGCACGTGGAAATATTGCTTTAATTTCCTGAGGAGGAGGGGGACTTCTTCCGCCTCTCCCCCGCTCGAGATTCAGCGATCTTAATCGAAATCAATCGCGTTGCGTAGGCAGACTAAAAGATATAACCAGAGGGGGATGTCCTAAATTTCTTTTTTTCGTAATTTTAATTTCTTCAACTCGCGAGAAGATAAGGTTTATTAAAAAAATCCTTAAACGGAAATCTTAAGAGAATTTCGTTATTTTTTATTCATTTCATTAATTACTTTTAAACTGTACGAGTCACCGTCTGAAATGTGATATACATTAAACAAAATTTACGGAATGTAAAAGGACCTAGCTCCCACCTTCGCTTCAAGAGTACATACGTCCACCGCATTTCGTAATAAGAGTGAAAAAAGCTTGCGTAATTGCGATTAATTGCAACAGGATGAAGAAATAAACAATCAGCATTCATAATCAACGCGGACGATTTTCCTTAGCTATTTGTCTCACGATTCTGTCGTCACCGCATTCGTCACATCCACGTTCTTGAACTTGCACAACTTGACTTGGTCGTACGTATGACGATCAGTTACGATCTATCAACGGAGAGAGAGAGAGGTACCAGCGCGTCGAACCGCGAGAAGACTCGAGAAGTTACGATCCACGCGATCGACTATTTTCCGATTGTGTTATATCGCGAGCGAGTGTTAGTAAATACTCATTTTATCATTTTCTAAAACTTTTTTAACTTACACCATATCGCAAGATAAGTCACGTTTTACGACCTGGAGTGGCTCTTGGAATTTTATAATTGCTGATAAACATTTTTATTTTTAAAATTACATAATAAAAATTTATATATATATAACCGTAAGAGATAAGCAGACTCCTAAATGGAAATTTTCATTCACAAATCCATGATTCATGTTCTACGAAAAATGATATTTTGATAAACATTATATTTTTAATTTACGTGAATAAGAATCAATTGTTCATTCTCATTATTATTTTATTATCATCAATAATTTAACGTAAGTATCATTAATGCACGTGTTTCCTTCATTACAACGACTGTATTTATATTAAACGTGAATACGTCATAAGTTTCTTGACGGCAATAATTTCTTGAACTCGTGACAGTGTGTTGCACAAGAAATTGAGTAGGAGGTGAAGGTTGACGTCTTTTTCAGCAGTTTGTAGCCAGTTGGCTTTGTGGGAAGAATTAAAACGATTGAGAGGGCACCGAGAAGAATGTCAACGACTCGAAGAGGCAGATAAAATTTTGTTGACTACAATCCTCCCGCGGTAACTCGTGCAAGATGAAGCTACTTACAGTCATTCCTGCCTTTTTCCCTTGGTTAACGATCGTCCATTGCGTGTCGACCGCAAGATTTTGTGGTCCGGATACGAGAGACGGTGAGTTTTAAGATCACACAGTGTAGCAGTATTATAAACAAACTTCGACAATAAATATGACATATATAAATCGATTGGATCTACATGGTGTACTGAATACGAATATTTAGATTCGCGTGATTTTCGTGATTAAAGAAACGTTTTTTTATTGTGACTTACGCAATCGTGTCAACGCGCGTCTTCGTCTCGCAGAGCGACATTTGTCCCGGTTTTCGACAAGGCGATTATCGTCATTGAAATTGTCGCACAGGCATTAGCGCGCCTTTCGCCGAGTGTCCTGAAGGCACCGAAACACCTGTTTCCCCTTTTCAGATTTTCAACGGGCGCACGTCGGCCTGATTATCTCGCCCATAATGTCCGCTCGAATGATACGGGAGATCGAGATTTATTGGAATCACGCCAGGTATCGACCGGGCGATACGATCGCTCTTTACACGGGCGAGCCCACGAATGGCCTCGAGCCAATTTATACCCTGATACCAAATGCGCCGAGTGGCATCAAGAGGACCGGAGTGCAGGCCACGTTCGTTCCCACCTACAATCTCACGTTCGTTCAGCAATGCCTACGTATGTATGCAATGTATATATACACATATATCGTAATTATATAATTCCAATATAAACTATTAACCGAGCGTATACATATATAAGGTTGAGAAATAACGTTTCTTGTAATGTTACCGTTACAGTTGCGTTTTCGCAACCAACATTATCAGATACAAAAACGTAATTGTAATTGCAGCCATTATTCAGTATCAATTCTTTTTATCTATAGGAGAACAATAACGAATAACGAATAATCCCTCTTTGTTTTTATGTTTGGAACCTATTTTTCCGTTTATTCTAACTTCCACAAAAAAAAAATCATTTTCATTTTTCACGATGATGATGTTGACGATTGAATAACGCTAACTTTTTTTTTAAATTAAATGAGAGTTTGGATAAAATTCATAGACTTTATATTCTGATCCAGATGTGATTATTATAGATTTTTATATGTTAAAAACAGATTTGGTTCGTAATTGATCAATCAAGATTTTAAAACATATAAAATTGAAGATATAAAAAAGTATGAATTTTAAAAAATTAAAACTTTTTCAAACTTTACATTTATTCGAAAGACTTTTTTCAAGTTTTGATAATCTTGCAAATCAAAAATCCAAAATTTGATTGCTCTCAATATTTCGACAAAAAATTTTAGAAATGTAATTTTTTTATTATTAATTAATTTTGATAGGACCAATTTCATTATTAATTGATCTTGTTTTAGCATTAAAAACTTTACGCGCACTAAGTACTACTCTCAACTCTCATTAGCCCTTTTTCCAATTCTTGTTAATAATTTATTATTAATTTGTTACTTTTTGAACAGTAGTAACAGTAACGAACTATTTTTGGAATTGGCAACTAGTCATTTTTGCAACGTAATTTTCCCAGCTTATGTAATATGTATAAGTAATGAAAATAAGCACATGGAAACAATTTTGTAATTATTGTCGAACAATATACAGTGCGATTCTCACAGAAATTGTCGCACAAGAGCAAATTGCTTTTTATAATTTCGACGAAGAGCAGTCCAGACTGCTACTTGATCTACCGCTTTTTCCTTGCGTATACCTCTTTAGCGGCGTACGTATCCGAGCTTAAAACGGAATTTCGCTTTAATAGAGTACCATGTCGCCTGGCTGAGAAACGGCACAGTAAAACTGACAAATTGTCTGCAAACGCAACCGCAATGGATGTCGGAGAGAAGGGCCATTTTAGGGTCGCTGCCAATGAGCAGAGTGTTCCTGCCCGGTACGCACGATTCTGCGTCGTATGCGATACACGAACGGGCAAATTCCGAGAACATCGTTGAAAGATACGTGATAACGCAGGTAAATTCTGAATTAATAATACAAAGAACTGATTATTTGCGTGGATTAACGAGATAATCTGCAAGTTAATCTGGTTACGACAACAACAACTCTGATTCTGAGTCATAAGTCGCACGTGGCTACAAGATCTCCATTTCTACGTCATCTTTTTGATTGATTTTCAAAATAGACTTCCGATCGATTTCAAATAACGAGACGCTTCTCGCGCTCGAGTAATTATAGCGAAAATATTCGGGCGACATTAAAAGAGAGCTTACGCAATTAAAAAGTCGGATAAGAATTAAATATGGAATAACCGTTGCTGGTAATCGTTAGGATAATTAAACTGCAGGATGTGGACGTGCTCGCGCAACTGATCTACGGAGTCCGATATCTCGACATCAGAGTCGGGCACTATCCCAACACCAATTCGGTATGGTGGGCGAATCATGGAGTATTTAAATCTGTTCCTATGCACACCGTCATCAATCAGGTGAAGACCTTCCTCGACAACACGAACGAGATCGTAATATTTGACATCCAGGAATTTCCAGTTGGTAATACATTTTAGCGTTAAAGCCCGATAATTTTCGGCCAGACAAAAATACACTAGCTCGAGCCATTATTCAACATTCTTTTTTATGATATTCTTTAAATAACATAAAAATATTGTTGCGCCTGAATGTCGTTCTCGAATTTATTCGCGACACTCACGTTAAATCAAGGCCACTGATTGAAAAGATTATTCAGTATAGAATTGTACAACGCAACGAAATACGAGAATTAGATTATAAAATTATAATCATTTGTATAATGTCCGAAAATTATATTCGAAAATCATGTCGGACCCACTTAAATTCCAAGATGTTTTGTTTATCATCTGATAATCCTAGATACAATTTTCTTGTCTCGTGTCGATTGTTGTATTGTTTGGATACAACAGACTACGAATATTATTACAAAATACGGGGCGTGGAACACAAGGGCAATTACGTTATGGCGATTTGTCGCTACTTCTCAATTAATGATTCTCAATTAATACAGTAACAATAGCAAAATTATGCAATTCATAGCTAGGACTTAGATTTTTATTATTTATATGAAAATATATGCTGATGGTGTTGTTAGGTTTTGGAAAAAATCTGGGGGTACATCACGACTTCGTTACATTCCTCGAGGAACAATTCGCCGGGTACTATCTGCCGAAGAGTTACGGGTGGACTTATAGTTCGCTGAATATAATCTGGTCGTCTGGAAAAAGGCTTATTATCGGTTATGACGATAGACGAGTCGTCAATCGCTACGAAAGTATATGGCCTTGCGTGACACATCAATGGGGAAACGTCAGGACTATCGAAGACTTGTTTAACTATCTCAATCGCATCGAAACGGAAAGTCTCGGGTATGTAAATCTCATATAAAGCCGGTATCAAGCTGATCGATCAAGATTACTTTTTTCGTCATGTACCTACTTTTAATTTTATAAGTTTTCACTAATTAAGAGATTGTCACGTATACATAAACATATACAAGCGGCAGACAAATTATCAAATACAGCTGGGTATCTGTATATACGAGCCGCTTAGTTGAGCTGATCTATCAGATGTCAATGATGACTGGCCCTATTAAGTTTATAATAGCCTCTATTGATAGCTGAGCATCCTATTACATAAAAAAAAGTCTTTAATTTTGTTCTCTACGCAGAGCATAAACAGATATTATAACGCAAATAAAAAGCTTGTTCTTTTTAGGCTGACTTGTTAAACCGCTTATCTTTTCTCTTTTTTTTCTCCTTTTCACGTGGAGAAAAAAAAAGGAAAGATGAACCGTGCAAGAACTTCAGTTGAAAAGAACAGGCCTTATAATTACGCCAATCTGGCGCTCCTCCTTTCAGACATCCTAGATCGGTACCAAGGTCGGCGATGGCGGAATTAACGCTCAACACGTGGGACGTGATCTTAAACCGTCTCGGAAGTATTCGTCAAATGGCGGAGAAAGTTAATATCAACGTTACTAATTGGTACAACAGCAAGTGGCAGAGCAGCGCCAATATTGTTGCCGTCGATTTCGTCCGATCGTCCGGTATCATCGAGACCGCAATTGAATGGAACGAAAGACGAAACTCGAATTGTTAAAAACCTTCCCTATTCCCAACTCACGCGAGAAGTGAAGAAACTAAAGTTCATTAATGCACCTTTAATCCACAGTATGCCGAACTGCAAAACCAATTTTTATACAAATAGTACTTAATAATTTATTATTTTGCTTCTATGATTTTATCTACGGTTATATGTTGTACGAATATTAAATTTTATACACAAGGCGGGCCATTAGACAATGTCTAATAAAAAATAATGTAAATATCTTACAAGACTATGTCTATTCATTTTTCTATTACTTGCATAGAGACGAAATATTTCTTTTCTTTTAATTTAAATTCATTATATAATGTGATTCGTTAAATAATTACTGCGCTGCGTGAATTCATAGCAGCAACTGAATAAAAAAAAAAAGCAATTCACTTCGTTTTAATTAATAGTTTAGTGCAGGCCAAGGAAGTAATTACATCAACCCTCTGTTGCCTTTTCAGGAAATCTAGGTAAAGCGTAACGCAGTTTGCGCATTAATCGTATAATACGTATACTTTTCGCGTGATCATCACAGTTCCGCCGGACGTGCGAATAATGCTCTAATCAAGGTAACCGAGAGAAACGAAATTGTCCGTCGCACACAGGTGCGCGATGCAACGAAATCAGTTCATCATCCGGTACAGACGATGTTGGTCACGAACGCGAAACTGACTTATACGAGATCTATCTGCATTAATCCGTCGCGTCTCTGTACGGAGCACACAACGAACCCCAGAAAAAGGTTCTCTGAGAGAGAACGATAATCTCTTTAAGAAGTCGACCAGATCTTGCATATTCCTTTTTTTTTTATATGCAAGGAAAGGGTCGCTTAGCTTTTGCTTCTCGAAGTCGCCTGACAACGTCGAGATCCTCGCCTGATATGAAACTAGCGAAATCTTATCGTCGTCAAGCGTGTGATCATCTCGTACGCATTTATATCCAGAAAATGTGCTGCCTGTTGCTACTGCTTTTACTGCCGATCGTAACTTCGGAGCTGTGCGAGTATCCTTGGTATCAGTACGACGCGTGCCGAAATAATTCTCTTTCTTGTCCCAGTGATCAGAAGTGCGCGTTCATCGAGTACTGCCCGGCGGTTGTATCCCTAATGGATCGAAACGCGCTTTCCGCTCACAGGTAACGTGGTCGTTGTCTTTTCACTTTGAAGGAACGAGTAGATAATTATGTGAATTTTTTCGAACGCAGATTACGACAAGCTGTGTGCGGGTACGATCGCACTCGCATAAAAGTTTGCTGCAGCGTCGACAGTTATACCGAACGGCCGGTAGATCCAGACAGAAATCTGGATACATATCCGACGCAACTGTCTTCAGATTTCCAATGCGGAAAGAGTATTGTTCGAAATAACGTGGACACTTTAGGATCGCATCCCTTTGTCGCAAGAATAGGCTTTATAAGCAAGTACTTTGCACGTATACGGAAATACTTATATTACAGAGAAGTGGCAATATACAGGATGTCCCAGAAATCATTGGTGTCTAAACTATATATAACATTAAAGTTTAAATATCTTATCAAAAGTCATCAATTTCTTCTTTTAAAGTAGTCAGTGAATCGATCAATTTTCTGAACAATAACAAGACGGAGAATTTCTGTGACATCATGTATATAGCAAATTATGTACAATTTGATTTATTCTCGAAGGAGAGAGAGAAAATTAGCTATATTTCTTTTATTATGTAAGACATGCGTTTTCAGACTGTTAGCAAGAATTCGGTTTCAGATACATTAACGGGTGAGATCAAATACTCGTGCAATGGCGTGATTGTTAATGAGCGTACTGTATTGACTACAGCTACATGCGCACTCGCGAAATCGGACAGATACAAATTGTACGTATATAGCAGTCGAAAATAAAAAATATAACGAATGATCGTTGCTCAGATTTTCGATCGGTAGCATTAAATTGTAGCATGCAATAAATGCTTGTAAATCAATTATATAATCCTCGTTCGTGTTTAGATGCTCTGTGCTTATTGGTGAGTATAATACAGAGTCGAATCCGGATTGTAATAATTTGTTTTGCGGACACAATACCAGTAGCCACGACATATCGTATGTAGTAAAACATCCGGGCTACAACGCCGCAAGTTTTTCCAACAACGTCGCCTTACTTCGCTTGAAGAAGGCGATCGATTTTACAGGTATGTACAATTCTTAAATGTATACGTGTTGAAGACACCGTGACGATCACGGCGCCTCAATGAAATAGCAATATTATCCGGTCCTCTTCAGCCACAGCTCAACCAATCTGCTTTATACCGGAAGACAGATACGTCAGCTTAGGAAGTACATGCACTGTTGTCGGCTGGGGAAAATTGTCAGGTCAAAAAGGTATTGTATTAATAGAACAAACTATCGTAAAGCATAAAACTGTAAGCTGTGTTTATGTAACGTTCAAGTGCTGTAACCCTGTGATCCAGCGCAACCACTGACGCAACAGTCATTACAACTAGAACTCGTACCTAAGCAGCAGTGCTCGGACTATTTAAGCCAAGCTCTATCTGTCGAATTATGCGCCAAAGGAAACTGTGAACCTTGCTCAGGTTACAGCGGTAGTCCACTGTTATACAAATATGCGGACACATATTTCCTGGTACGTTATCAACATAAATATTTACATATATACTACAGATGTAGTTCACATATTTATGTTTTCCTTTTTTTTTTTTCAATCAGGTCGGAATCCTATCATATGGGTCTAGTTGCGACTCAAGCACCATTTTTCCGTCTGCATTTGTAAATGTACAGAGATACACAAGGTGGATCTTAGAGAATTCTTAAGGTTGGAAAAGTATTAAAACAAAACGTCTCGAAACGTTTCTTAAGAATACCGATTGTAGTATTGCATTTTCACGAGTTTTTATTTTTTTTTTTTGCGAATCTAAAATAGGTTATTTATGTTTAAATATATTCAAATATTTGCCGCGTGTCATTTCCTTAGCCTCTTCTAGACCCAGCTGATAAGCTAAATCGTGCAGTCTTTTCACTTCCGAGATAAGCCCGGTCATTGACAAATTACCCAGTTCTGCAAGAAAATATTTTACGGTATTTAGCAACAGGATGAAGAATCATATGTTAATGCATATCAACTCACGATGCACATGGCTTATGTCATCCTGCGACATCGCAGCCCAAAAACATGGTTCTGTCTGCGGTGAATTTTGAGCAACAAACTCATGTACACCTGGAACTTCATTGCTCGCTACATATATGATGTAATGTGTATACATGACTCATAAATGATTCCTTGAAAAGTGTACTCACTCTGCTCAGGCCATAGATCGGGAGATGCTCTATCCAATTTCTCTAGACTCATGAGACTCTCCTCTATGCAAGACAAATCTATAAAATAAGAATCAACTATTTTAATTTCTTTGTATTTGAAGTATCTTTACTATAATATTATAGTAGAGACATAATTATCTTACACAATATTTATACAATCTGTGTAGTTTCAAGTCAATAAACAAAGTGTAAATATAAAGATTAATTTGTATAATATTTTGAACGAAGCAGAATTCACACTGCGTAATTAATAGGAACTTAAATCTTTCTTATTCTATTTCATTACATAAAGCAAACGATCAACAAATCTGATCTTTCGATTGAGATAAATAAGAGAAAGAAATAAAATGTAAGTATTTTACACATTTTAAATATATAGCAAAAGTTTGCGACATTGACGTAGGATACCATTGACTTTCTCATAATATTAATATATATAGTGATTATATAATGATAAATATGACTATGAGGATTAAAAGATATATTGACTACAAAGGACTAAATCGATCATTTAAAAAAGTCGTTAATATTACATTCAATATACTTGTCACATAATTATATAACCCCTAAATGTGCATATAAACAGAGACAAGTGCACACTCGAAAATTTTTTTGCGCGTTTGTTGTATTCGTGAGGTTCCAAACTTACCCGGTTGTTCCACTGCTTCGTCGGTAGCCATAACGCTCGCGCGTGAAAGCAATAAATTTACTCAAGTGTTTCCTGGGAGGAAGGACGCTTCAACGGATACACGACGCGCATACAAAATGGAGCGACATGAACCGGACGGGATACTTTACACACGGCTTTTTTATTCCTTACGAAAACCCTCGAGTGACAGACTAACAACCACGCGTCGTTAATCGCTACGTGTCGCTCTGTCGTAGTGCCGCCTCTCTGCGCAGCTCCTTGGCTAGCTCGACCTGCTGCTGCAGTACGTAGACATTTTCTGCCTTTCGGCGCTCCCGTCGCTCGACGTCGCGTATCACGCCCAAGTGCAGCTGCTTCCTGAAACGTTTTCGCGGCGCAACGTTAGTCGATGAGAGAAGGTCGAAACGTCGTGGCGACGCGGTATCTACCTGTCGTAGGCCTGCTTGTAATGAACGTAGCCTATTATTCCGACGGACGACATGCAACATAGACCGAAAGTGACTTTAGACGCGCTCGACATTTCTCGGATGGTGCCGGGTGCGCAGTTATCGCTGCGAGTGCGAGATGCTCGCGCAACGCACGACGGGATAATCGATTGCTGTCGATTCTCGCGCGCGCGATTATTTGACTTTCGCCAAGGTTATAACGTAGGCAGTAGCAAATCCAATACGTAGATTTCTTTATTACTGCTTACGTCACACTGCTTAAGTTTTTTTGTGTGATAACCCTAACGCTCGAGCGTTAACATGGACACCATTCACATCACTTCGTTCGCTCTTCTCGTTTTTTTTCTTTAATCCGTCTGACTACAAAAAAAATGTTACATCTTGACATCTCTAATACAATTGATACCTACACTAGTCCCATGTGATTTTAATAATGATGTAAACTTTTGATAATCTTACAGGGACATATATTACAATTTATCCATAGCTATTGAATTTATATATTATTATAATATATTAATTGTGATGATCATACAGTGACTTTTTTTGTTATGAGAGTACATACTTAAAAAAGACTTGTACCTAAAGAAAATTATAATTACATCCTAATTATAATAATTATACATTATACATATTTCTTATTCTTTACTATCTCTAACATTATTCAGAATAGAAAATATATGTATAAGTAATATAACATATACAGAGTGTTCAATTTTTATTTCCCCAGACAAATATCCCAGAAAAATACGCAAGATACGAAAGAATACTTCAGACAAAAATTGTAGGATAAAGGGTGACAAATAACGATAAAATCAGTTTCACAAAAAATCGATTTTTCAAGGTTTTATAATATCTAAAAATAAGAACAATTAATATATCAATATATATATAATTCCGATCGTCTATGTATAACACAATTAAATTAAGAAAAGGCCACGCACGGTCATAGCAGGATTTTAATGTTCTTAATATTTCTACGTGAATTTCAATGAAATCTCCCCTACTTCAATCATCATTCAATGAAATCTCCCCTACTTCAATCATCATTCAATGAAATCTCCCCTACTTCACGATGTGATATAAAGAATTATTTGCTGCGAAAAATATTACCTCAGCCAGGACTGAATATACATATATTTTTCGCAGCAAATAATTCTTTATATCACATCGTGAAGTAGGGGAGATTTCATTAAATGCCGGCGAGCATCAGTATTTATTAAATTGATTATCAATTTAATAATCGTGATAATACTGTTTTGTCTCAAGCAAAGAGCTCTGTTGAATCCGAAAGTAACGGCACACAGTTTGCTAAAACTAGAATATGTATGTAAAATTCACATAGAAATATTAGGAGCACCAAAATCTTATATTGACCAAGCGTGGTCTTCAATCCAGGGTTGTGCCGTAGATTTCAAGATTACGTCTACACGGATTATTTACGTGAAATCTACGTGATGTTTACATAGTCTTTTTGCTACGTAGACAATCCAGACTTGTAAACTATGTAGAATATTGTAAATTGTATCACTAAGATATACAATATAAAAGAATTAAATTATAAAGCAGTCTCTACCCACAGTAGAAATGTCCAAAAATGTACCTAGGAGTAGGCTAAAGATACCTTTAGACATCTTTAGGATATTCTTGATGTATTTTGAACATTAATTAATTTAACTACGAGATTAAGATTAAGAATGTAACCAGAGAATTTTTCTTATTTAAATAGTAATTTTTTTTACATAAACGTTAAATTATATGTATTTATTAAATGAATAAATATATAGTCTACTGACTGTCTACATAGATGACACTTATACAATAGTTTACGTTGTCTACATGTAAACGTAGAATATTATATTTTACGCGTAGATGCACAACCCTGCTTCAATCGTAAAAGTAAGAAGTTATCGTCTTCGAAAGGTTATCATGTGGGTGAGTACAATAAATTAATCTGTTGACTCAAACAAAAGACGTCAAAACATCGTTAAAATAAATCGAATCGTAATTAATCGAAAGGGGACTTTTAATAAATATTTTCAACAAATATGTCATCAGGACTTTTTGTTTTATTTGGAGATATAGAAAATATATACATTATTTAATATGTATGTTTCATTTTATTTCTATTTTCTATTTTAAAAGCCATCTTCGTTTCTGCATTTCATTCGTATATCATTTAACATATTGTATGTGTAATACTTTCTATGAAATTTTCATACAACAATTATTCAAACATTTATTATGCTTGATGAATTTTCCTTGTTAGTTAATAAAGATTTTTCAAACTATTTATAAAAATTTTTTAAAATTGAAATTTTAAATACCAATTTTCAAATTTTTTTTTTTTTATAAACAATTGAAAATCTTATTTACAATCTTAATCAATATTATTGATTGTTTGCAATCATCATTATATAAATGCGAATAAGACACAGAAAGATCCTCAATATTTCTTTTATATTTATTATCTTATTGTTAATTTCAAGGCTATTAAAGCGTTATATACATTGATACACTCGAATATATAAAAGTCGTTTAGTATATTTACATTATATCTATGTATTTATGAAAAGGCAGAATGTCACGAAAATATAATATATATGTTTATTTATTACAGTAATAATATAGATTAAAGATTTCTCAATTTGTTTTTTATCTTTATATTAAACTTGATGTACACTATTTATGTTTATAATAAAGTAAAGTTATTACTATTATTATAAAGTAATTTTCTACCATATAACAGTTTTTCTACTATTAATTACTAAACCAGCTAATAATGGTTATTATTCAATATTATTTAGTATTCAAGTAGTATTAAAACGCTGCTATCAGCTACTGTATTTTGACTTATTTTATTTGCCAGACGCTAATTTTTTTAACGCTTCATCAGCAAAACGATAACGATGCCATTGTTCTCCAATCGTCAGATCACTAGCCCCTAGCTTTTTATAAAATTGTTGTGCTGAGTTCCAGTTGAGAACTGGAAAATCCAATTTGTTACAATTGTTCTCTAATGCGTCCTGTAAAAATTTTGTAATTTTTTTTAACACATATAGAATACTAGAATTTTATACGCAGTATAATTAAATAAATGGAACATATTATACTTTCGCAACTGCTTGTAAAATTTTGCTGCCAACGTTTTTCTGTCGAAAATCCGATGCTACGTAAAGATCTTCCATAAATATAGACCTTCCAGTCCATGGAGAATAAGTGTACGAACAAAAAGCGTAACCAATGAGATTTTTATCATATGTTGCCACGTAACAGAAAAATAAAGGTTTCTCTCCAAAGCCATCTTTTTCTAATGCTAAACAATGATTTTAAACAATTATTTTGGCATTTTAGAAAGTTAATTAAATGATATAGAAATAATAATGTAAAAAAGTCACTCTTGTAATCAATTTTTAATGCGTTGGGCATTCTCTGATAGGTCGCCAGTTCCTATAAAATATATGTCTAATATTTTTATTCTATTCAAGATATTCATTATTAACAAAATTTATAAATATATACCTGTACAAGTACCATGAGGGCTTTGCAATCTTCACGTACAGCTTTTCGTACAATTATCTCAGCCATTACAACAAACGTTAATTTCAGCTTCAAATATTTGCAGTAATTAATTTGCAGTTCAATATTTTAAAAATATTAAATGTATCCAATTTATATAAAATATAGATAAAAAAAGACAAACTTAATAATATTCTTTAAAATTTGAAATGACTTGAACTGAACTCGAGTATATGTTCTCACTACTGAATTTAGTAACATACTAAAACCAGAAGAATGCGGATTTTAATATATACTCCCGCAAGAGTGTAAGTATCCCCAGACAGCCAAGTGTATATGCTTTCCATTTAGTGACACTAGTCGACACAAGTCATCATTCTATCTTTTTTCAACATCCACTGACAATAAAAATTGATAATGACGCTTGCGTTAACGTGCCACTAAAAGGAAAAAAAATCCAAGTTTACTTAGAGCAAAGTATTATAAACTGTGTGTTGCATATATTGATTACGCTTTACATATAATGCTACAAATGCTTAAAGTATTGATCAGTTGATATAAAATTCTTTTTTCTGATTGATCAATTAAATACTTTGATTATAAGCATTTGTAGCATAAAGTGGATTGCCCTCAAGTGGAATATTCCAGCAATAGTAGAACACTGCAGTCTGCTGTTTTTCTAATATCGATAGAAATATGTTTAAAAACGAGCAGGTCCTGCATTATACATCGTGATAGCAAGGTATGCTCCATATTCCTGCTCATAGACATTTATCTATGTACTAGACCGCTAACTTAGTTTGAGATAACGCATGTGCAGCATTGAGATAAGCATGTAAGTTGCTTATAAATAAAGACTAAAGTAAACATATAAAAAGAATTTAAAATAGTTTTCTTAAAAATAGAAGTGTAAATAGTGTTATTTTAAAACTATAATATAATATATTTTAAAATTTAATCGTTAGTGTAATTTATCAATAAAAAATTGAAAAATTAGATAAATATTATTAATCATTCATAAGATATTAGTCACTTTCAGCAAAATATTGTTTTGCAATTGGATGTTATATTTACTGTGAGATAAGATTCTAGATTAAGAATAAGTGGAATTCCATTAACGCAAAAAGTGCTTAGTAAGCGCTTACTTTTTGTCGAACGTGACCAAAGACGTAAACACATATACAAATTATTCTTCTGTGCCATTCTTAATTTGTAATTTTATAAAAATATTCTATTTTGTTATTCTTTATAATAGTATTCTACTTATTCTTAATCTAGAATTTTATCCCAGTAAAAATAACATCCAACTGCAAAACATTATTTTGCTGAACGCAGCTAATATCCTACGGAAGATTAATAAAAATTATCTAATTTCTCAATTTTTTAGTGGTAAACTATATATTATCTTTAACATTTGCAAAAATCTAATTATTTTTATCTCGAGTAACTGTCGTTTCTTTATTAACACTTAAGAAATAATGTACTTTGTACGTGCGTATATTACTGTGTATATATATATATGCGTGTGTATGTGTACATTCGTGTGCGCGCGTTATATGGTGCAATAAAAAAATAATCAAATTTACAATAAAAAATATCCCGATAATTATCAAATCTATCATAAATAAATTTTGAAAATTTTTATCTCAAACAAATTTTGTGTCTACAAATTTTATTTTAATTATTTCCATTTATCCAAATTTTATTTTAATAACATTCCATTTATTTATTCATAAATGGCAGATTGATGCTCAATTTATGAAATTAATAATGTGCAATTAATTTGTTATAACGTGAAATGCAGAAATATATCAGAATCTGCTAATTACAAAAATTAGGCATGTAGAATATGTGAATAAATTGATATATTATTATTTTAATGACGAATTTACGTCAAATTCTATTCTCTTTCTATTCTGCTTGCAGAACAGTTTTTGTGGACACCAGCTGATGTCAATTTACTGCAATATGCTCGAATCTGCTGGACTGCAAGAATATATCTAATTATATTATCCATACATCTATCACTTTACCAAATAGTTGCTGAAAATATATATTAGATAATACTTATATGTTTTTATACATATTCATATTAATCAAATATTATTACTGAAAGTACTTAATGAATGTATGTATATATGTATATACATACCTATATATATTCATATATATTTATTACTTCTAGTAATCATATATCTAATCATATATCAGGGTGTCCCAGAACTGGCGTACCGCCAGAAACCAGCGTATTCTCCGTGAAATTCTAAGACAAAAAGTTCTTTACCAAAACGCGATCCGATGAATAGAATTTGAACGGTATTGAAGTTCACGAATGGGCGCGCGTAGAATTTACGCGGTCAGGCACGTCCGAGACTGGCGCGAGGCACTTCAGACATTTGCTCGTGTCATAACGTATTTCTTATTACTCTGCTTTGCATTTAATTTAATTAATTAGTCAAAAATGTTTAAAATACATAATGAATTTGTTATAATAGTTTAAAAGTTATTTAAAACATGTACAAATTATTTAAAAATAATAAAAATCTTTATAAAGTGTTAATATTGTTTAAATAATGTGCACATGTTTTAAACAATTTTTAAACTATCATAACAAATTCATTATGTATTTTAAACATTTTTGACTGATCTCGGACGTGCCTGAATTCTACGCGCGCCCATTCGTGAACTTCAATAGCTTACCTTTCAAATTCTATTCATCGGATCGCGTTTTGGTAAAGAACTTTTCATCTTAGAATTTCACGGAGAATACGCTGATTTCTGGCGGTACGCCAGTTCTGGGACATGTATATATATATATATATATATATATATAGTTGCAACTTTGGAACTTTATAACTCAAAAAGTATTTAATGAAGAAACATTTGATTATAGTGTTTTGGAAAGCTCTCGAGGTTAGCTACAAGAATATGTAATAAAAAATAGGGAATGCCATTTAAAAAAATTGAGGTGACTCATGTGACTTTCAAATAATTCTTCAAGGTCAAACCAATGGTACCATCTTATGGTCCCTTCGAAACCAAACAACTTTTGTCTGAAAAATTTTTCTCTCCCGGGCTTGATTTTCGAGATATTTGATTGGATGGA